AGCGGTTGGGCGAAAGGGTTTTGATACGAATCGACGGGCGTTTCGCCAAACCGCGACGTTTTTCGCCTCGATCGCCCTGGCGTTTTTCGCCAGCGAAATCGATACGCATCTATTGCTTTTCGCCCAACCGCCGAACCGCGGCGGTTCGGCGAAACTAGCGGTTGGCGATTCTCCGATCAATGACTATTTTTTGCTTTTCTCCCAACCGCCGTTTCGTCAGGGTCGCAGACTGTGAACAATGCCTAACACTAAAAAAAGTCTGAGCGATGAACAGGTAAAATATTAAAAAAAATCGAAAACACGACTGGGAATTTTTGCGAGATATAAACAAACACTGCGAAGAAAAAACGTACCGGCGAAGATAAGACGCTGCTGATCAGGAGGGATTCCTTCCTTATCCTGAATCTTGGCCTTCACATTCTCGATGGTGTCAGAGGCCTCAACCTCGAGGGTGATGGTCTTGCCCGTGAGAGTTTTCACGAAGATTTGCATTACTGCAAGAAGGAAGCCATTACTAATGGAAAGGAGAACCATTAAATGACGGCAGCAAAAGCGACAAGGCAAAAGTACGTGGTAAACGTAACTGCATGAAAAAATCGACTCACAATTCAAATAACCTCAGCTAGCATCAAACCAAGCAGGCATAATAGCATTTGGATATTTGGAACATAAAAGTAGTGAATACATAAGTTCATGTTCTACTGTCGTCGGCGATAGAACGTTTTGGGCGCAAGGGAAAATATAGGTATCGATCTGGGTTCAGCATTCCAACAGTACCGAGCTTTGAGCGAAAAGTATAGGTACTTGATTTAGAATTCTAAGCCTCAAACGCCTACGAAAAGTATGAGCGCAGCCTAAGATGGACTTAAAAAAACGGAAGGACTTAAAAAAGCTTAAAAAAAAGCGATAGCAAAAATGCTGAGTTATGGACGAGTCATAATCCCACAGCACTTTAACCCGCACCTCGCGCTTCCCGAATAAACGCGCTATCCGTTACGCCACCACGACGGCCGGCTTCCACCAGGGTCCGTAGGGTCTAGTCCTTCGCCGCTAAGGAAGGTCCCTCTCCCCGTATGCTACACTTTCCCTGAAGGCTCTGGAGGAGGGGCCACGCTCACCAAATCAGGGGGAGAGCTTCCCCAAAAAACAAGTGTTGGGGAAGACATCCCCAACTTTTTTTGCTTACTTCGCTTTTGTTTTGCACTTTTCTTTGCTGTTTTAAAATGTTACTTTTAGTAAAGCACGGCATTCTTAGAAACTTTTCTCATCCTACTTTTTTTACCCATAGTGTTGAGGAGTGGTAAAGGAGATACCTGCGGTATTACGGTATTGCCTAAGCGCACTGTCAGCTTGCAAAAGAGTTCACTTCTTCCTATTTTTGAGTCCGCGTCACCTTTCTAGTAAATTTGAATTTTCTTTATTCCACAGGAATTTTGTATAACTGATTCTTCTCTAGCATATGTGTGGTTGAATGTAGGGCATGAAGATTAATACTTCGTCCCCTAATTTAAACTATATTGTGTGAGATTAATATGACATACGCTCCACGAATTTGAGATTTTTGTAATCTGTTTCATTTTTCCTTCAGTAGTATGATCAGCAATATTAGCGACTCAGCAATTTCCTCTCAACAAAGGACTCCTAAAATCCTTGGGACCAGCATCCTAACTGCTCTGCAGCTTTCAAGTGAAATTGCTTGAGGAAGTTTTTTTTTTCGGAGTCCATTGTCTATTTGGATAACTTATGACGCCTAACACTCACATGCGCTCTTCCGAAGCATTTTGCCAGTTTCTGGTAACGTGCGCGTCTCACTTTTAGACGTGTAAGCTAAGATGAATGAAATTTTCACATTCACATGTGTTAGTTGGGCCCCACAAGAGGAATGGACCGCAATCGGTGTAAACTAGGAAACTGAGTGCATCAAGCCGAACTGCACCGAAGAAGCAGTTATATAATAAAGATCAATGGACAAACACGTCCAAATCAGTAGAAAGGTAAAATACGTTCTAACCATAAGTCCATTATCGTCTTATTTTGGCAGAATGAGGCGAAATCGTACTGCTTTCGAGTAAGGACCAGGGCTCGCTGCCACTGCTCACCACGCCTTATTCTTGGCATTCTACAGCACCTACGACAGGAAAGGTAGTAATCGCCTTCCTTTTAGGTCATGCAAGCAGCGCTTATTCGAGTCGGTACTACTACATGCTGACATAAGTGGCCAGATTGCTGCCAAATTATTGAAAATCCTTCGAAAAATCCTTTACCGGGAGAACACTTTGTCCAGCTGAAAATACTTCCCTGTTACCTTGCAGCGCTACCGGACACTTTGGCATATTGCCCATAATGAACATGAGTTGCGCAATGGGAGAGCGGAGAGCGAAATGGTAGAGGCAGGATCACTAACAGAGAGGAGAACATGGCGTTTCGCTACCTTACATTTTGAGTCATTTAAACTGAGGAACTGTTTTGTTGAACTTGCAGCCCTGTTGCAAAGGTCCACCAAGCATTATAAATACTTCAATAACTAATGTTCAAAATATTAAATGAGAAATGTGGCCTCATGACTTTGAGCAATGCTCACTTAAGCCTGAAAATGGCTTTATTACAGTAGGACAAATTACACAGTTGATCATTATCAGTCCAAGTAACTTCCGAAATGTCGTAAAGGAAAGCTATGGATTCCAAACGCTGGATGTACAGACGGCCCTTCCCTATTTGCGCCAGCAAACGGGCTCTTGTCAACCAGACACACGAGGGTCCAGGGGTATATCTTCATGGCATCTACTGGCCCAGCAGTTGAGGGGGAAGGAAAAAGGAGGGAAGAAAGAAGAAAGGAAGGAAAAGAAGGAAGGAGGGAGAAAAAGGAAGGAGGGGGAGGCTCCGCGGTTGACTAGTGCCCTGAGACGCTTCTGGGGATCTCCTCGAGTGTAGAGACGTCTGTGGCAACTTTCAGCATGAGAACTGCGGCGCTAAACAGCTACTAATCATAATAAAACACTCTCAGAATCAGTTCTATCTAGAAGTTGCTAGAGAAGCGAAACTCCTTGATGATGAAAGCCATTTTCGAAACCACAAAAACGTAAGCATAGCGTTGCACAGCTGATGACGAACTATTGCGCAACATAATGTAATGCATGACGAACGCTCATTTCACGAGAAGGCAATACAATCGGCCATCTAGCCGCCTCTTCACAGCACGATGTGAAAAAAATGTGCACTTCAAAACTTTTTCCCCACTTTTCCTTCACTGATTTGTAAGACTGCGTTCCTACGATTTGAAGATGGAGATGTACTTCGACGTTTTGAGAGAATGTGTGCCAAGAGTGGACGGGTATTGATTGGGCGACCTGGGAGAA